ACCCGAGACGCGCCGGCGGCCCCCGATGGCCCCGCGGGGCGGCCCTGGGCCCCTTCCCCGGCGGGACCTCCTCGACACGTCTGAAAAGCCAAAGCTCACGATTTTTGTGGTTGTTATTGTTGTTTGTTTGTTTTAAAGTAAAAAGAAAAAATGGAGGGGAAATGCAACGATCGCACGTTGTCACGGTCAGAACGCAAGCTTCGTAAGGAATGTATATATATTAGAGGCTTAAAAATAAATGTATATCTACGAGGAGACCGTGGCGGAGGCGACTTCCCTTAGGAAAGGCAGCCGGGGGAAGCCGCCCCGGGCCGAGGTGTCCCGCTCCGTCACCTCCTGCGGCCACCGCGCCCGGCAGCCAAGCACAGGGCTTCCCGTGGAATATAATAATGATAATGTTTTCTGGAGGAGAAAAGCCTTTTTTTTCCCACAAACAACGCTCAGCATGCAAATGCCACCTCCCGTTTTATATATTTTTTAGCTTCCCCAAACGTGACTCTTTTCCCGACATGCAGGCGCGCGGGAGGAGGGGAGAGTTGTGGGACACCTTCGTGTCCCAGGAGGAGCCGACAGGTTCCCCCAAACCATCTATAGCTTCGCATCCTGCCCCGGCTCCCCTTGCGTTGCGTCATGTTTCAGGGAGGTTTGGCGTAAGAATAAAGCAGCCCGTGCAGTTTCAACACGTTTTTATTATATTTCTGTATGCATTACTCTCAAAACATATCACAAGAAATGATGAAACCACTTAAACCTTCAAATAAAAAATCTGAAACAGTTTATGCTCACAATTGTACATATTTATAGTTAAGAAACATTCTTTATAAATACTGTTTCCTCTGTAGCAAGTTAATACCATAATTTAATTACAAATGGATAAATATGGTAACAGGTATTTACAGGAGGAAGGGTGTTATTACGGAAAAAAACCTAACGGCACAACGTTTATTTTTCCTCACAATCTTCCGAACAGGAACTAACAAATTGAACTTGCAAAAGCACTAAAACATCACATGTAAACCCAGCTAACAGAAAAAATACATTCACAAGCGTTGTTGTTCGTGTGTGTGTATGTAACAGAATGGAGACTTTGGCACGGTATTTCTTCCCAGTCTATAGTTGAAATGCAGTTTTACAATCAAGTTGCCTCTTAGAAAGGAACACAATATTCAATATATCACAATTACAAAAGAAACCTTTTTTTTTCTTCCACGTTATTTTCCTTAAGGGGCGAACTAAAAAAAAAACAAAAACAAAAACAAAAAAAAACGGAGAGACATGGTGGGAGAGGAAGATTTAAAAAATCCATCACTTTTTTCTTCGGGGATGAAGAAAAAAAAAAGGATGAAAAAAAAAGGAGGAGGAGGAGCAGGGACCAATCCGCAGTTTACAAACTGGACGAACTTCTCTACACCAAGGATCCGATAAGAGTCGGTGGCCGCTCGGCGAGGGCAGCGGCCGCTATGTACAACAGTCCTGGGCCCGGGGCTCCGGGCGGGAGGCGCGGGGGCCGGAGGAGCTGGAGTCTCTGATCTTTTGTCTGGAGGCTCTGCAGGGAGAGTCGCTTTCCGCCGGCTCGAGAGCTTTTGCTTTTTTTCTCTCTTTTTTTTTTC